CGGTTAATTGGCCCCTTCCCCCTGTAAATGTTGCTTGCTTTCGTTGACGGTTAACTGGTCCCTTCCCCTATAAATTTTGCTTGCTTTCGTTGACAGTTTTATCTCTGACGATGGACTCCGCAAGAGTTCTAAAGCTTAGACTAATAAAACTACGATTCCGGTGATCGAAGCTACTTCTTCTTAATCTATAATATATAGTATAGTATGCCTAAAGACTCGGGGTCCAGACATGTTATCGCATTCGTCGCCCAAGATAGAGGAATAGGGGGCGGCTTCGTGGACCATAATATAACTTGGCCCACGAACCCTTCCCCTCTTCCTCTCCTTTGGGAGACGATGAATGCGGTAACATATCTAGACCCCGAATCTTTAGGCGTACAATACTATATATAGTGTTTAGAGGTAGTCTATAGAACCCAAAGATTACGACATAAAGGCATGGCAGGACTTGTGCTATTATTTAATAACGTTTTATTGAACCCGTAAGCTAATCGTTTTACCTCATAGAGATGAGGAGTGCACACTGGGTGCCGACTTCTTAAAATGCACGCACAGGCCGTATGATAGTCTACTAGTTACTGGCCTTAGCAAGCATGATTACTAGAATTAGCACTTGAGCATAGCCACGTACTTCTAGCAGCAGTATCGTAGTCCGAACCAATCAGAAACGGACAGAGCCTGATGGATAGATCTAAGAGGATTGAAACCATAGCAAGTTTTGCTGTGATCAGGGTCCTAAATATGTACTTACTCGGAAAAGTCTAAACACAGTTTCACATTCCTTGTTTTGATCAAGGGGGTATGACCCCCAGCGTTGGCTAAACCAGCGTCACCTGACATATGGTAGCGTTAGTGTTAGTACCAGTACAACTAAACTTCTTGTTGAGATTGAGGGGATATGAGCCCAGTACTTACTTTAATTAGCGTCACTTCTGAGTAATAATTCGGCCACACATAGTACCAGCAATACTATCATTCAGCTACATCCCTTGTTAGTAGTATTAGAAATAGCAGTACCAGTACCATCTTTGGTTTCCTTGAGGCTGGCTTGATACCTACTGAAGGTGAGTGAGGATTCATAGTGCGGCAGTACCAGCGTAAGAGACTGCTGCCACTTAAGAAGACGGTGTTATGGTCCGATTCCTGCTCGGTCATCTTGACTTTTGTTTTGTCACCGGTTCAAGCGGGGCGAGAGTTTAGAGTGAGGTCAACAGCTGCGCTTTTATTTAACTTAAATCTCGTCTGCGTCTCTAGTCACCGTACCTGCTCCTGAGCACATGTTGGACTTCATCCAAATCGATGGTCGAACTAGCACTAAAGACTACGAAGTTTCAGCCGTAGAGTTGGAAAAATTGTGGTTTAACGCCTAAATGCAAATAGGGATCACCACTAACACTGAGGTATGCTGTCGGCTGACTTAGCGCGGTTTCGAGTAGGATTGAT